CGCAGCTAGGAAGTGACAGAGCCAGGATTCAAACCAGGCAGTCTGGCTTCAGAGCCCTTGCTCTTAGCCACTATGAAATCTTATGTTCAGTATCACTAATTTTATAATAATAATAAATTTGGTTGGTTGTGTGTGGCAAATGGAATCATTATCATGAGTTGATAATTGAACTCCAACATGGCATTGCCTTAATCTCATTTCATGTGTGTATATCTTGTCTCCTTAATCAGAGTGCAAGCTTCTGAAAGGCAGACATGTATTTTAAGACAATATTTTTTGTAGATTGCTTTGCACCTTTAATAGTGTTATTTACCCACAGAAAGTTTTCACTAAGTACTTACTGAATGATTGACAGGAAATACAAGAACACCCATGAACCTTTTCACATTGAGGCATAAGAGTTTAATTTCCTAGATGAATCAAGAAAGATATTCCTCAAGGGAGTCTTTTCTATTATTTTGTTTTTCATTAATGTATTTGTTAACAACAGCTTTATTGACATATAATTCACTCATTTAAAATGAATTCAATGATTTTCAGTTTCATCACCCCATCCCTCCTGTCCCTAAACCCTGTGTGTCTTAGCCTCATTAGCAGTCATTCCTCTTTTCATCCCACTCCTCCTCCCAGCTGTAGGCAACTATTAAACTAGTTTCTGTCTCTATAGACTTGCCCCTTCTGGACATCACATATAAATGGAATCAGCCAATATGTGGTCTCTTGTGACTGGCTTCTCTCATTTAGCATAATGTTTTCAAGGTAGTATAGCCATACAATGAGCTATTATTTCGCCATAAAAAGAAATAATTCATTAACTATTCTATGCAACCAATTTACTAATGTACTGCAAGATTTCAGTCATATTTATACTTTTGAAAATATTTTACTTTTTACTGTGGTAAAATATACATAACATAAAAAATTTCCATTTTAACCATTAGGTGTACAATTCAGTGGCATTAAGTATGTTCATATTGTTGTGCAACCGTCACCACCATTCATCTCCAGAATTTTTTCATAATCCCAAACTGAAACACTTATGCATTAAGCAATAACTCCCTATTTCCCACTCCCCACAGCCTCTGGCGACCACCATTGTACTTGCTGTCTCTATGAACCTGACTATTCTAAAGACCTCATATAAAAGGAATAATACAGTGTTTATCTTTTGGTTACTCACTTATTGCACTTAGCATAATGTCATCAATGTTCATCAGTGTTGTAGCATGTGTCAGAATTTTCTTCCTTTTTAAGACTGAATAATATTGCATGGTATGTATATTCTACATTTTGCTTATCCATTTATCCATCAATGGACACTTGGGTTGCTTTCATGTTTTAGCTGTTGTGAATAATGCTGCTATGAACATGGGTTTGTAAATATCTGTTCAAGTCACTGCTTTCAGTTCTTTTGGATATATACCTAGAACAGTGATGGCGAACCTATGACATGCGTGTCAGAGGTGACACGTGAACTCATTTTTTGGTTGATTTTTCTTTGTTAAATGGCATTTAAATATATAAAATAAATATCAAAAATATAAGTCTTTGTTTTACTATGCTTGCAAATATCAAAAAATTTCTATATGTGACACGGCACCAGAGTTAAGTTAGGGTTTTTCAAAATGCTGACACGCTGAGCTCAAAAGGTTCGCCATCACTGACTTAGAAGTAGGTTTGCTGGATAATATGATAATTCTATGTCTAAGTTTTTGAGGAACTGCCAAACTGTTTTCCACAGTGGCTGCACCATGTTACAATACGCAAGAGTTTCAACTTCTCCACATCCTCACTAACACTTGTTATTTCCTGTGTGTTTTTTTTTTTTAAATAATAGTCACCCTAATGGCTATGAAATGGTAACTCATTGTGGTTTTGATCTGTACTTCCCTAATGATTATACCTTATTTTAAATAAATCCCATTGTCTCCTAAATACCTTAAGATATTTAAAGAATATGTTTATAAAATGTATAATCCTCACAAGTGTTTAGAAGTTATTAAATTTAGTTTGTTTAAAGTCAAGTCTACCTGTAACTGAGGAAACTAACTGCTTCAATACTTTAAGCATAAATGTGGTAGGCACCGTGTTAGACACTTGTCACGGATTATGTTCCCCAGGATGTAAACCCTGAGACAGAGTTTATAATGCAGGCTAAGTAAGGCATGTCCTTAGAATGAATACCTGTGGGAGAGATGGAAAGAAAGTAGGATTGAATTTAAGGGGGTCTTAACATTTTAAAAAGTTTAAAGAACACTAGGGGAGGTAAACTCCCTCAGAGTCATTTTACTAGTAAATCAAATATTTATCTGACTACTAAATTTGTAACAAGACCCTCTCTCCCATTTCCCCCCCTATTTCTCTGCCTCTCTCTCTCCCCATTCCCTTTCTCTCTCCCTCTCCATCCCTTTTCCCACTCTTTCCTAAAACTCTCTCTCCTCCTAGATGTGTTTCACTCTGCACCTCTGTCTGCAGCATATGTTTATCTCACCTTCTACTCCATGTACTTTCTGTGCATTGCAGGAAATTAAATTTCTCCTGTTTCCATACTGGTAGCAGCATTCTTTTTGATGAAGACAGATCCAATACATTATATAGCTCATAATTTTAGAAATTTTCAATCATGGCAAGGCATTTTGTTATTGTATATAGTCAGAAATGTAGTGCATTTCATCTCTATTGTAAGTTGAAATTGTTCTTTTGTAATAAAAATATTTAAAAATACAACACCATCTGTTTAAAATTTATGGTGAAGAATAAAAGTATATGCTTAATTGCCAAAGGCAAAAAAAAAAAGAGAGAGACTCATGGACCAGTATGGTGATTCACAGAGGGAAGCAGGGTGGGGGGAGGTAGAAGAGTATAAAGGGGGATAAATGATGATGGAAGGAGACTCAAGGGGGTAAATACACAATACAGTGTACAGATGATGTGCTGTAGAATGTATACTCAAAACCTATATAGCCCAGCCAGTGTGGCTCAGTGGTTGAGCGTCAACCTATGAACCAGGAGGTCAGAGTTTGGGCACATGCCCGGGTTGCGGGCTTGATCCCCAGTGTAGGGTGTGCAGAGGGCAGCCGATCAATGATTCTCTCTCATCATTGATGTTTCTCTCTCCTCCTCTCCCTTCCTCTCTGAAACCAATAAAAATATATTTAAAATAATAATATTATAAAAACAAAACAAAAACCTACATAATTTTATTAATCAATATCACCCCAATAAATTCAATAAACAAGAAAAGATTAGACTCTCATATTCAAGTGAGGCCCATTCAAAATATGTAAGTTCAATACCTCTTTTATTTCTTTTTTAAATTGTATTTTTATTTATTTTTGACAGTGAAAATATTATTCTATTAAACTTTATCTAAATAATGATGCCAGTATAATTTTAATGAAAAATAAAATTTTTATTTTATTTGTATTATATTGATATTATAGTACAAAAAGGTAATGAATTAATATTTTAAATTAAATTAATGTACTTAAAAAAAGACTTTTCTCTACATGTTGGATTAGCAAGAAAATAAATAATATACAGTCTCTGGTTTGGGTCCTTAAATTCTGCAAGTTTGCCAATAACTGTCAAAACTGATTGTCTTTGTATATTAATGTTCAATTAGCACTATAGATAGACAGATTTGTCAATTGTTGGAGCACAGTCTTGGTGTTCCATGGAAAGACTGGAAGGAAATTAAATGCACTTAAAGAAGCCCATAGTAAAAGGCTACATACTGTATGATTTCAAATATATGACATCGTGGATAAGATGAAACAGTAAAAAGATAAGTGTTTGCCAGGGGTTATGGAGGAGGGAGGAATAGATGGAACACAGCTGATTTTTATGGCAGTGAAACTATACGATACTATAATGGTGGACACATGTCACTATATGCGTCTCATAGAGTGTACAACGTAAACTGTGGACTTTGGCTGGTTTATAGAGGAAAAATAAAGAGACAAAGAAGAATCCACATTCGCCGGAATATTTTTTTACAATCCAGAATTTTTTTTTAAATCAATTATCCCAAAGTAGAATGGATTTCAAGGTTAAGTTCCTTTAATCTAATGTAAGTCAGATCATACTGATTTGAATATTATTCAAAGGACATATAGCGATACATGTATAGTGACTTAGGACACACAGAGTTACATCCAGGGGGACAAGGCCTCCTTTTTCTCATGGAATCATTATTTTTAAATTGAAGTTTAAATTCAATATTATTTTGTATTAGTCTCAGGTGTACAGCATAGTGGTTAGCTAATCATATACTTTACACAGTGTTCCCCTGATATTTCCAGTACACAATGGGCACCATAAATAGTTATCACAATATTATTGACTTTATTCCCTATGCTGCACTTTACGTTCCCCCATGACTATTTTGTAACTACCAATCTGTATTTCTTAATCCTTTCATCTTTTCACCCAGCCCACCAACCCCTCTCCTGTCTGGCAAGACACCAGTTCGGTCTCTGTCTATGCGTCTCTTTCAATTTTGTTTGATTGTTTATTTTGCTCTTTGGATTCCACATATACATATTTGTCTTTCTCTAACTGACTTTTTTCACTTAGCATGATCCAAGTGTGGAAACCACCAGAGAACTGAAAAACACCCAAAACTCCACCAAGTGACCCTGTTCCTCCAGTGACACAATCTATCTTGAAAGAATGTCATGCTACAGAGGACACAGTAAAAGCAAATATATGAAGTAACTGGAGTAAGGAATTGCCATGGAAATCAAATACCAAATTAGAAGGAGGCTTCTTGTTTGATCTGAAGGGTTTTTGCTTTTTGGAACCATAATGTGTTGCTTTCTCTCAGCATCACACACACACACACACACACACACACACACACACACACACACACACACATACACAGCTTGCTAAATTTAGTTGTAGCTATGTCACAACAATTATGACAAAATTTTCCTCTGACCACAATGTGTTTGAGCACAACTTGTTCCTCTTTCCAGGCTCTGGTTTGTACATATATAAATTTCTAGTGGGGTGACACCCACTCTCCCACAGCAAGATTCCTTCTTGAGAGTGGACAGTGAGCATCTACAGGTGAAGGTGCTAAGGAAGCAAATGGTATCCTAGCTGGTGAGTTCTTTGTCTTTATACCCATGTCAGAGTAAGTGATGATTCCAGCTGATCCAATATTACCATGGCCAGCCTAGAGTGGTGTGCAGAGTTGTCTGTGTGTTGGGCAGTGTCTTTGTCGTCTTGTGGAATGAGAATCAGTGGACAAGGCACCACTGTCTCTCCTCCTGCTCTGCTGTGCCACCAAACCTCTCCACCCTGACTCTCTTCCCCAAGAGCCTTCATCATGGAAGCCTGTACATATAGCTGGCCTGGGCATGAATGATTAAGAGGAAACAGGAAATTGAATGGCAGCAAAGGAGAAATGAAAGAAAAAGGACTGAGAACAAATGGGACATTGTCAGCAGAAAGGAGAACATCAGAAGCGGAACCGCAACAGATGAGGGAACCCTAAAGATGAAGGAGTACTAGAACTTCTAATAATAATTCACATTTATTAGTGTTTATTATGTGCTGGGCACTGGATACACATTTTATATGAGTTTCTTCATCTCATTTAATCCTTACCACAAACACTGTGATAGACACTATTGTGATGCCTATTTTACAAAAGATAAAAATGCTCTTTAAATGAAAAAACAAAATCCAAGTCCCCCACAACATTTCAAAGAAGTCAAGAGGGGAGAGGATAAAACAAAACAGAAAAAAAAAATGGGACAAATGGCACAAAATCAGATAGTAGAAATAAGTATAAATATATTAGAACTAAACTCTAAAGTTAAAAGACAATGACTGCCCATTGGATAGAAAAAACAAATTTGCACTACATGTTGTTTCCAAGAGCACATCTAAAACAGAATGGTAGAGACAAGAAAGTAAAGATGTGGAAAAACATACCAGACACATAAGAATGACAAGAAAGCTTATTAAGTTATAACATTTGTTAAAATAAACTATCTTGCTTGTAAAAGTCTGCTGTGACTCCTTATTGCTTAAGATCTAGCTATAAACTGACTGCTTCTCTCTCTCTTCCTCCCTTGCCTTTTCCCTCTCCCCACTCCCCTTCCCTCTCCTCCCCTCCCTTCTCTCAAGGTCTAGTTCAACTCCAATCTACTCCAAGAAACCTTTAAAAGCAATTCCAACCACACTGGTCTGTCTCGCCTTTCTCTGAAGCCTGTACCCCAAATGAGCATTTTTTACTGTTTCTGTTTGTTTTTTTGTTTTTTGGGGTTTTTTTTTGCATTTTCTTTAATTGCTTTACATAACTTTCCACAACATAGACTGGAAATTTCTCAAGGACAACAACAAGAAATGCTTCTTTTTCTTGGTAGGTTGGTTGGTTGGTTGGTTGTTATCCCTCACAGCACCTGGCAAAGTGTAATTTCTTCACTCATTAACATATTTATTGAATATGTACTACTAGAGGCCCGGTGCACAAAAATTTGTGCACTCGGGGGGGGGGGGGCCCTCAGCCCGGCCTGTGCCCTCTCGCAGTCTGGGACCCCTCGGGAGATAACGACCTGCTGGCTTAGGCCTGCTCCCGGGTGGCAGAGGGCAGGCCCAATCCCTAGGTGCAGCCCCTGGTTGGGCTCAGAGCAGGGCCGATTGGGGAGTTGGGGCGCTGCCCCCTGTCATGCACAGAGCAGGGCGGATCAGGAGGTTGCGATGCCACCCTCAGTCACGCTCAGGTTAGGGCCGATTGGGGGGTTGGGGCACCGCCCCTGTCACACTCAAGGCAGGGTCGATGGGGAGGTTGTGGCGCCACCCCTGTCACGCACAGAGCAGGGCCCATCAGGGGGGTTGGGGCTCCATACCCTGTCATGCACAGAGCAGGGCCGATCAGGGGGTTGAGGAGCTCCCCCTGTCACTCACAGAGTAGGGCCGATAGGGGAGTTGGGGCACCACCCCCTGTCACACTCAGGGCAGGGCCGATCAAGTGGTTGGGGTGCCGCCACTCTCACACTCAGGGCAGGGCCGATGGGCAGGTTATGGCTCTACCCCATCACACACAGAACAGGGCCCGTGGGGGGGCGGGGAGTTGGGGCACCACACCTTGTCACACACAGAGCAGGGCCGATCAGGGGGTTGGGGAGCTCCCCCCTATCAGGCACAGAGCAGGGCTGATCAGGGGGTTGGGGCGCCTTCCCCTGTCACGAACAGAGAAGGGCGGATAGGGAGGTTGTGGCCCTGCCCCCTGTCACACACAGAGCCGCAGGGTGGTCAGGGGGTTTGGGCACTGCCCCCTGTCACGCTGATCCCAGTGCTGGGAGGCATATTACCCTTTTACTATATAGGATAGAGGCCTGGTGCACGTGTGGGGGCTGGCTGGTTTGCCCTGAATGGTGTCCTGGATCAGGGTGGGGGTCCCCACTGGGGTGCCTGGCTAGCCTGGGTGAGGGGATGATGGCTGTTTGCAGCTGGTCACACACCCTTCAGGGTGGGGGTCCCCACTGGGGTGCCTGGCCAGTCTGGGTGAGGCGCTGAGGGCTGTTTTCAGGCTGACTGAAGCTCCCAACCGCTCCTTTTTTTCTTTTTTTTTTCTTTTTTTATTCTGGGCCAGCTTTAGCTCTGGCTCCAGCTCTGAGGCCTCCACTGCTGAAAGAAGGTATCTGGTTTGTTTGCGTTCTATAATCGAAACTCTGTATCAACTCCAGCTCTGAGATCCCGGGCTCGCTGAAAGCAGGTTTCTGGAGTTTTGTTTAGCTTCTATATTTGTTACAATGTTTAATCAAGGCCGGCAGCGCAGGCGGGGAACGTTGGAGTCCTCCGTCACTGAAGCAAGCAAGCCTCATGTTAGTTTCAAGCTGCCTGGCTGCCGGCCGCCATCTTGGCTGGCAGTTAATTTGCATATCTCGCTGATTAGCCAATGGGAAGGGCAGCGGTCGTACGCCAATTACCATGTTTCTCTTTTATTAGATAGGATGTATCAAAGATGGTTCTGAGTATTAGGGATACAGCTGGGAGCAAATCAGAAGAAATTCCTTGCCCTGGTGGGTGAAGCTTATATTCCAGTGTGGAGAGCTGGAATCACCCAGGAAGGGGGATAGCAAGTGAGTGTGGATGGAGCTTTCAATTTTGGATGTGGTGGCCAGGGTGGCCTCTATGAGAGGTCTCTGATTGAGGGGAGGGAATGAGGCCTGGGGCTGTCTTTGAGGTGGGAACAAACAGCATAGGAAATAGGCTGGGCAGAGTGTACTTGGCTGGTGTGAGCAATGGCCATGAGGTCAGCATGGGGGAGAACAGAAAGAGAGGAAGTTAGGCGGTAGAATGGTGTGGGGCCTTGGGGGCCATTGGAGAGTTTTGAGTAGCGGAGTGCCTTGTTGAATCCAAGAGTCAGTTCAATAACTGCTGTAAACTTTAGAGATCTAGAGTTTGATGGGCCTCAGCAGATTGGCTCAGACACCTGGCACCATGCTACTCTGCCTCAGACTAAACTCAAAGGATCTTGTGCAAACAGTACTCCCTTGAGTGAGCCACAATGAACTTGTACTAGTAGAAGAAAACCACTTGCTGAAGAACCGGAACCTTCAAGTCAATTAAACCTGCGCATTGAGTGCATGATGTCACTTACCATGTTATTTTCATCTCTATCTTCGCTGTGGTGCCAGATGGTGTTTTCCCTCAAGCTGTCCCAGATAAATTTAAAATCTAAGTAAGGGCAATGTCCTTCCTGTACACACATGGCTTCAAGTCAAGCCCCCTGATGTTGTGTCTTCCAATCAGATTACTATTCCTAAGCCCCTCTTATGTGAAACTCCTGTGGTCAGCCTGGACAGAGTCTCTAGCCTTCAGGAGCTTGAGTCCAGTGGCAGAAATAGACATGCACACAAACCTCTGTATTATTTGCTATGGTTGAGAATTTGTTAAGTGCTATTAGCACACATATGGGGGGAGTAAAGAATTTTGCATTTGTGGGTTAAGCCAAAAAATAATGGCATTTGAGGAATGGAAACGCTTTCTGGCCAAAGAGAACAGCAAGAGGAAAGAGTTATAGTGGGAAAATATCAGAGGTGACAAACAGGATCCAGGCAGGTAATAACTGCCAGGCCAGCTGGGGAGCATGTGCCCTGTTGCTAAAGGTCAGCCAGGGAGCATGTGCCCTGTTGCTAAAGTGGTCACCCCTGCTTAGGCCTGCTGACTATTGGCACACTGGACTGCAGGTCCAATGTTACCAGAACTTGTGATTTCCCCAGAGAAGCTGGAAATAGGGAGTGTTATGCAAAATCTCCTGATTTTCTTTTCATTTTAGACATCAAAATCTAAATAAACTTAAACATGACGTAGACCAAACAAAATTGCTCAAAGGTGGCCAGCTAGCTAGGAGAATAAGAGTGCCAAGTGACTTGAGGAGACTAGCTGGAGATGAAGCTGGGCAGAGTGGGGAATGCGACATGAAGAACCAAGGGAGTTGGGACTTCCTTTTGTCGAATTTGAGGGGAAGTGTGGTCACTTAAGAAACATAAGCTGGGAGTGAAAGGATCAGATTTGCACATTGGAAAGATCTATCTCAGGAAAGGTGGACTTGAAGACTATTGATTGTATAAGGGAAAGGCCATAAGGACCCGAGTATAACTGTGGAGGTGAGGAGGGTAGAGAAGAGATCTGAGAGGTGTTTTATGATGCAAGTGATTACATGACTAGATGATGGGGTGGAGAAACTATGAACATTAGATACAAAGAAAAGAGGTGTCAAAGGTAACTACTTCTAGCATTAATTTCTCTGGGATTTTTGGTGGGTATGAGGAGAATGGGTGGGGAGAGGTGAAGTACAAAAGATAACAAAGAGGACATTAGCTCAGGATTTCTCAACTTTGGCACTATTGTCATTTTGAGCTGGATAAGTCTTTGTTGTGGGAGATGGGCCTGTGCCTAGTAGGATATTTAGCAGCATCCCTGGCCTATATGCAGCAGACGCCAGTAGCACACCCACAACCCCAAGTCATGACCACCAAAAATATCTCCAGACATTGCCCAATGTCCCCTGGGGAGGCAAAATTGCCCCCATTGGGAACCATTGCTCTAGTGTCAGAGGGAAATTCCCTATTTGCTACTTCCCTTTTTGCTTTGCAGTAGCGGTGGGGATCTGTTTGCTTTTTGTTTAATAAAAGGTAGAAGACCCTTTGTGAGACTTTTGCCTAAGGAACCAGAATTCTTAGCTATGAACTCAGGAGGGTATCTCTAACTGGCTGGAAGAAGGCCTGACTTTGGAAAGAGGGACATCATTTTTTCCTCCCAGATATTTTCCTGTTTGTGCCCTTTTCTAACTCCCCTTAGAGAAAAGGAGAGAGCCAACTAGAGTGGGTGAGGTGACTAGGTCAGTCCAGAACTCCAGCCACCTCAGGCTAAAGTGCAAGTAGAGGCAAATGGTAATCTCACACCCAAGTCATCAGGGCTCGATGAATTAAGGGTTAAAGCAGCTAAACTTGATGTTGACTCATCAGGACTTTGATTACACAAGGCAAAACGAGAGCTCTTGTTTATTGCAGTTCCTGGAAAGCCTTCCATTTATCTTCATCTTCCTGCAGACAGGACAGTGGCTTAATTCCATCCAAGATGCTCATTCAGTTAAAGGACATAAAGATTACAAATCAAAGTTTGATGTTGAAGAAACAGCACTCCTAACCCTTACGACCTCCTTACATTTTTTTTTAATGTTTGATAATTAGGGTCCAGAGAATGTGGAAATGACTGCAACAGTCTTACTCACAGATAGCAGGCCACACCACTGCCCTTTGTCATTTTGCTCACAATGTCTGTCCAAATTCTCAGGGTGTTTTCTAGAGGCTAATGACAAGCTCTGACCCTCATTTTCCTAATCATTTCCTGCCATTACTGTTGTTTCATTAAGTACTCGCTTGCTTAGTCTATGCAGACAATGTACCCAATGGCACTCAGCCAGTCCTCAGGGGCTCCTGTTCTCACTGGAGACTTCTTAAAGGCAGATGACATAATGATTCTGGAGACATTATT